TTCCCTTCGTGTGCAATTCCAAATCTTTATCAGTGCTTTTTCCCTCGATATAGGAAAGCAATAGTCAAAATGTAAAAATGTAAGTTAATTATGTTAATGATACATATATTTATTTATATTTATACATATATGTTGCACTATTCAAAATGAATGGCAGCTGGGGATGTAAGTCAGTTTATAGAGTACTGACACATTGCACAGGAAGCCCTCCCTGGGTTTGGTTCCCAGCAACACGTTAAACCGGAAGTGGTGTTTCAAGCCTGTCCTCTCAGCAATTCATACTTGAGAGGTAGAGGGTCAGAAATTCAAGGCCAGCTTGGGGACATGAGGCCAAAGATGTTTAGGAAGAGGAAAATTCTCCTTTTAAAAATGATTTGAAACAGATACAACAAATACTACCATTTTTCATCCCAGAGTGGTTGGAACTACTGGATTCTTTTTTCTCTTATAAAAAACACTTCTTGGATCTAGAAACTAGTTTCTTACAGTTTCTCTCACGTGGGCAAACCCCTTGATTTTGAAACTATGGAGGCGGAAGCCTCTCTTGTGTATACAGCAGCATTTACCTGGCAGTTCATTAGACCGTGTTCGCCTCCTGGTGATGGCCGGTCTGCACCCCCTCAGCCTTCCTCTGTGTCGAAGGAAGATTCAGATGCTCAGATTCAACGGTTGTGTGAGGAAATAGCTAACAGATGTTCTGGAATAGTTCAGCTTTGGTCTGTAATTGGTCTCCTGTGTGAATTTATCAAAATCTTCATCAAGGTAAAGCAATAAGCTGGAGCCAACTCCTCTGCTCTCTTCCTGGTGGTCATTAACAGGTTGTACTCAATGTTGACCTTTCCAGTCAGCTGCAGATGAAAAAATTACAGCCAGTGGGGCTTTGTCTGCTCAGTTTCTTACCATGATCAGACATGTTAAGAACTCGTGTCTCAATGTAATTGTAATTTAAAATTAAACTATATTTTTAGCTACTTGGAATAATTGAAAAAAGCCAAGGCCTTCCAGAGACCTGGTAGGTGATGAGTAATAGGTTCTTCTACCAGGAGACAAGTGACCCCATCCAGGTGCCAAACCTTCACTGAGCCCCCAAGCCTTTCTGAGGGAAAACTGAGCTTCGAGACAATTTAGGCAGAAATGGGGTGTGGGTGCCCTGGACCAAAATTGTCTTCCTTTCCCAACATGAGCCAGATACCCAGATGTCCATGTCCTCACAGAGTCTGGTCTGACTTAGATAATGAAACCTGTGCGCATTTTCTTTGTCATCCAAACAAGTGGAAGGCCTCCGAGCAGCCATTAGGATGCAGAAAAGCTTTGTGACCGGTCTTGGTGATGGCAGTGAGCAGAGGTGGTACCCTGTTCAGTCTTCATGTCATATACCAGCACCAAAATCATGCAGCCCATCACAGGGCTCCCTTGTATTTATTGGCGTCACATCAGTCCAAAGTTTGCCCTCCACTACTATCCAAAAGAGTAATGTCCTTTCTTAGACACGGGTTTCTGTCTTGCTTGTGTGCCTCCCAGTCTTCAGTGGATCTTTTCAGGGAGGAGCCAGGGGGTGAGTAATCCGAGTGCTGACTGTGGGTGATCTGCCCCAGTCCTAATCCAGTTTAGCTCTGCCTTTGTCTCAAGTTGTATGCAGCTGTCTTCTTGCTAAATCCTGGCTTTACAAGGAAGGAATACTGGTTGCTATTGTGTGCCTAGAACAAGGACAGTCACCACCTAAAACCTGTTGGGTAAACAGAGCATACTGTGTATGGATGAGTAAGTTTCCTTTTGGGTTACTTCCACTGGAGATCTGCGATGGAGGTACTTTTGGCGGGGTGAACACTGGTTAGACTATTAGGAACTTGAATAGGGTAGGAAGAGGGAGTTATCTTAGAATCAGATAGGAAGAATGCATTTCAGGGTAGAGTATGAGTGTGTAAGTCTCTTCAGGGTTTTTTGTTTTGTTTTGTTTTTTGTTTTTGTTTTGTTTTTGACCTGTGCCCATGAGGATCCAAACTAGAGAAAACATTTGACAAGGTCCAGTTTTGGGATCAGGATGAATTATGAGAGATTTGTGTGAGGTGGCATTACTGTTCGACTTGGTTGGGCATCCCTGTTCTTCCCATGGATGACTGCCTGGGGAGAAGTGAGAGGAACTTAAGTCACTCTGATGAAAGGGAAGGAGCTCTGTGTGTGTGTGTGTGTGTGTGTGTGTGTGTGTGTGTGTGTGTGTGTGTGTGCTGGAAAGGGGCAAACACATATGTTCCAGATATTTCACTATTCAATGTACAATAAAATGCCCCTTTGCCTTTAAGAATCTTAGCAATAAATTCACTGTGAGGCCAAAATCCTATGTCCTAAATATAGAGATTTGTCTCATGTACCTGAGGGGCTCTGTTGTGGCCTGTATTTCCTCACTCTGGTTTTACCACATCGAAGCAGCTTACGTTTGAAGGCTTCCTCTTGGATTGTTGAGAGAGTTTAGAAAGTTCCCAGTGCGTTACAATTTTAATAATATCTCCAGCTTCCTGTGGAATGTGTCAAAGGTTATAGACACTTAAATTATGTTGTGTGCCATGAGATAGGCCTCTCATGATTTCAATAAAACCCACGTTCAGGATTTACTTATGTGTTGCTTTTTAAAGATTATTTAAATCACCCTTTTAGTGCTTGCTAATAGACTTTAAATAACTGATGTAATCATGAGGGTTTTTTTATTTTACTTTTCCATTTTGCTTTCTGTAATAGTAATATACAGATCAGTCTACATTGATTCTTAGGAAAACTCATTTTTTAAGTTTTCTTTACAAATGGCCCTTCTTAATTTTAGTTTTAGGGCAGTCATATTAATGAGTGACACTAATATTAGTTAATATTGATATCCATAAGTAACATATTTACTAGGTTACTGTTTGTGTTGACACACATTCCTCATTCATTTTATTTACATATAGGAACACTAATAATTAAATATGCTGAGAAAGTATTTATAAATTACAGATTAAATATTAAATGTAAAAATGCAAATGCCTATTTTTGTAATAACTAATCTGAATTTTAGCTAATTTGCTCAAGTAAGTGTGCTGAAATTTCCAGGATATGAATTTATCATTTCTAATTCCTTTGATGAACATTGACAAACTAGTATATTTAATGGTCCCTTCCTGAAGTGAAAGGAGGCATTAATTTGAATTAACACTAAATGTATTCTGCAGTAGCTTTTAAAAACAATCATACTATCTGACTTAATGATTATGAATTTAATAGCTTGAGAATACAGTTCTTGATAGATGAGTTGATAATATCGTAGTCTACCTTCCTAATTAACTATCAGGGGTTTATCATTATTCAACAGCTTCTTTAAGGCTAAGTAAACATGATGTTAATTAAACTCACAGATAATGCTAGGGGATGTTGATTGCTGCACAAGGAAAAGAAAACCATGCAGCCTGACCTTAAGAAATGCTAAGTATGGGAAGGTTGGCAATGATAACACCCAGCAGACATCAAGTGAACCAGCTCCCCAGTCAGTGTTCCTGAGAGAGATTGGTACAGGTTTGAAATGTGTTTTTTTGAAGATTAGGAAATAACCCTTTCAAATAGTCTATTTTATTTTTCTATTGCTGAAGATTTGAATCTAAGGTTCTCTTACAGGCTAGACAAGCACCTGATTACTGAACTATTTCCCAAGCCCTTTTTGTATTTTTTTTTTTCTCTTTATTTGAGAAAGAGTCTCACTGCATTGCACATGCCGGTCTTGAACTTGCTCTGGGCTCCAGGTCAGCCTCCCGTTTGTGATCTTTTGGCTTTAGTCTTCTGCATAGTTGTGATGTCACCAGCATCCACAGACCTGGTTGAAGACACTTTATATGAACCCTGAGGTGTCAATTCCTGCATCTCTTTTAGAGGCTTTCAGGAGGCTGGCCTCATTGGGGCCTCCTGTGAATTAAGACTCTGCTAGTTTACGAAGGGGCAAGGTGGTGCCTGTGTAGACTCAGGGTGCCCTGCACACTTCTGCCAAGTACAGTCAAGGCTTACGAAGGGGAACGGTGTGCCCGTGTGGACTCGGAGTGCCCTGAGCACTTTTTGGTGAAGTTGAGGAGGTGTCGCTTTGGATTCATTACTCTTTCTGGATACTTCCCTGGTCAAGGAGAACAAGTGGGCTAGTGTACATGGAAAGAAAGCAAACAAATGCAAGAAAATATCCACTTCACTATCACCATCACCAGGGTTTGTTTTCGCTATAGTCTTTGATGTTGTGCATGTTACCCTGAAATCCAACTATTCATCTGATAACTCTCTTCTGATAGAAATGGGAAAAGTAGGTGCCTTGTATCCATATATATTAATCCATTTACTGGATGTTCAAGTTCCAGCCAGTAGTTAAGTGTGCTAATGAGAAGATGCCATCACTGTGGTTTTAAAACACTGGAGGGCATTTTTCTGTTTTCAAACATGTACCTTATAAGGAATTTGAATGTATTATACAAGATGAAAAATGAGTGAGGGGTGAGCTACATTTATGGTAGGTATCACCTGTTTTATTGACAGAAGATGCAAATATGAAATTTGTCTAAATAATTAGATTGTTAATTAGTGCATCATTGTAAGATGAGTGGCATTCCACTTCATTGCACAGGGTTTCATATTAGAAATTTCGTGTCAACAAAGATGCTACCTGCGGTTTGCTAATCCGAATCCTTAATTTATCACTTGTGTGTGTGCCCTGGCACATACTTGTAGATGCAGACATGAGCTGAGAGAAGACATTTGATTATGGCTCTGTGCTGTGGTGAGGAATATTGATGGTGCTATGCTGTATGAATACATTACAGTTTTTCACATTCAGGGGACAGGTTTCAATCACGTGTTAGAGAGCAGACGATCACTGTCCATGCTGTTAGCAACGGCATGAGGAGGTCCTGGAGGGTGTGCATTGTCGGTGTCAGCTTTGAATGAACATGCTCAAATTTGATTGGTGTTTTTCTTCACCTGGTTTTCCTTTTCCTTGACAGTTGCCGAACAAGCAACCGGAAAAGTCTGATAGGCAATGGACAGTCACCAGCATTGCCTCGGCCACACTCGCCTCTCTCTGCTCATGCAGGTAACTGATGGCTCGGTCTGGAGTCTTGTCTTGTTTCTTTTGTTACCTTTAAAAAAGCAACCCAGGGCTTTTGAGACCTGCACGTGTCTTTTATATCTCCCCAGGTTTTCTCCTTATTTTACTACTCAGTTGTTCCTTCTGAGATAGCAGGTTGGAATTCCTTTGTATATCAAGCACTTTGTAATTAAGTTTTCTCTGTTGCTAAGATGTGTAACACTGTCGGACCTGTACATCCATTTAGCAATATCATTAGAGGTTGCAAACGTGACAGTTTGAGGAAGAAAAGTGTGCAGAAAGGTTCAGCCTGGTCCCCCTAAAACTGAGCTTCATGTGTGGATTGAAATGGCTAGTTATTGTCAGTCCAGTGGTCCTCTACCTCCCTAATGCTGCTACCCTTGAGGACAGTTCCTCATACTGTGGTGACCCCCGGCCATAGAATTATTTTCATTGCTACAGCATGACTGTAATTTTGCTACTGTTAAGAATCATCATGTAGCCGGGTGTGGGGGTGGGTGGGGGGATGGCGTATGCCTTTAATCCCAGCACTCGGGAGGCAGAAGCAGGTGGATCTCTGTGAGTTCGAGGCCAGCCTGGTCTACAAAGCTAGTTCCAGGAAAGGCGCAAAGCTACACAGAGAAACCCTGTCTCAAAAAAGAAAGAAAGAAGGAAAGAAGGAAAGAAGGAAAGAAGGAAAGAAAGAAAGAAAGAAAGAAAGAAAGAAAGAAAGAAAGAAAGAAAGAAAGAAAGAAAGAAAGAAAGAAAGAAAGAAAGGAAGAAAGAAAGAATTAATCATCATGTAAATATCTGATATGCAGGATATCTGATATGCTACCCCCAAAAGGGTCTCCACCCACTGCTTGAGAACCGATGCTCTAGACCACGAAGATGTGGGAGAGGCCGGAGGTCTCAAGTCCTTATAGAATTGTAAGGAAGGTGGAAGTGTACCTCTAAAACCATTCAGTGAAAACTTCTTTCTGTGCTTTTTATTTCAAACCTGTCTGACGTGGTGCCAGGAGGAGAAGGCTAATTCTAATCGAGAAGTCAGGACGAGTTTGAAGAAACCACTGGCGAAGATGTTAAAGATGGCTAGGATTTTGGCAGGGCGGATAGGGAAGGGATGAAAGAAAGGATTCTCAGGAGGTAGCTGGCATTTGGAATGGTCATGCTTGATATATACTAAAGAAACAGGAAAAGTGGGCACCTTGTGCCCACACCTAGTAATTGGTTTGTACTTATAATGCACTTTTAAGATTTATAGAAATGGCTCGGTATGCTTGTGAGAAGATGCCATTAGCTGTTATTTTAATACACCGACACCTTTCTATTAATCTGGTGCATATACTTAATGAGGAATGAAATTAGTATGCAAGATGAGAAATGAATGCTTGGTGAGTCACAGAAGGATGGAAAAGCAGGCAAGAATGTTGAGGAGTGCAAAGGCTTTGGGCTTTGACTGTGTTTTTAGGATGTAGGTCTGGGCTGTAGGAGTATGTTCCAATGGGTTCCTGAATGAGGTAGTAGCCCTGTTTCCACAGCACCCGCTGGAAATTCTAATTTGATGTGGATGGGGCCTCAGGCGATCTTGGTTTCAAGACTAAATGTCTGGCTGGCCGGCAGGCAGTCTTTGGCCACAGAGATCTTTGCAATGCAAGATGAAGCTGCCTCTATGGGTAGAAGAAGAGAAAGACAGGCAGGTACTCCTTTGGAATGACATTTTTTTCCTTAATCATTACTAGAACTAGAAGGTGTCAAAGGGTCTGTAGGCAGTAATGGTGCTTGCCACCAAGCCTGATGACCTGGGCTTGAACCCTAGAACACACATGGCAGAAGGAGAGAGCCACTCGTCACTGTTTGCCCTCTGACCTCCCAAAATGCTTGGTTGCACCCATGTGCTTGTGCACATGCATGCATGAACACACTAAATAAATAAATGTGAAAACTGAAAACAACTTTAAAGGTGACGAGGTGAAAAGAAAAAGAAAATTGTTAACATTATGATGTAGTAAAATGACTAGTGTCCAGAAAGGTCTCGTCCAGACAGAACTCTAGAGAAGGAGCTTGTACTCAGGGAGGCCGCTAAACCCCAGCAGTGGCATCCTTCATCATTGCCCAACATCTCAAGCAGCCGCAGCCTAAAGTTTAATCAGTTGGGAAATGGGTAAATGAACTATGATCCAGTCACACGGAGAAAACAAATTAACCAGCCCTGCACATGTCTACATGGATGAAACTCAAATATAGTATTGGGCAACAAAAGCAAATTGCAAAAGAATATTGCTTAACCATTCAACCATTCACATGAAATTAATGTGATGCTATGGGTATTGTTTTGTTTAGGAATATATAACACATGCATATACATACATATATATGATGTTTAATATGTAACAGTTGTAGTCTATATATAGTATATATATACATATACGTATATAAGCTTATACATATGTAAGCTTATAGTGACAGATGAGAGAAGTAAGATATATATTTTTAGTTGAAAAATACATTTTTTTTCTGTACAATAATTACGGTTTCCCTTCCCCCATCTCCTCCTAGATCCTCCCCACTCTTTCAACTCCTAGCTTTCATTCTCTCTCTCTCTCTTTAGAAAATAAGCAGGCAAATAAAGAAATAAACAAACCAGAATAAACAAACAAAAAGGAAGGAAGGAAGAAAAAAAATGAGAAGTGAATATACACATACGCATGTACACACACCCCATAAAGTCACAAAATGAGAAACCATAGTATACAAACAAAACACTAGTAAAGTTAAAAAAATAATGACCAAACAAAGCAAAATGAGACGAAAAAATTTCCAAAAATACTATTGAATTTATTTTGTGTACTGCCGAGCATAGAGCATACATATACAAACCCTTGCGTGCGGTTTGTATACCCAGTGAGACTTCACTGGAGAAACGAATTGTTCCTGTGTCGGTAGATGTCAGTTTGAGATAGCCTGTTGGTTATGAGTGGGAGAAAGTGTCCACTTCTCCCTCTCAGGGCTGGGACTCGAGCTGGCGAGGACGTGTCTCGCAGGCCCTGTGCATACAGCCAGTCAGTATTTGTGTCAGTCCTGTGGAGTCTGGAAGACACTGTCTCCTGGTGCAGGCCTCCATCCCTTCTGACTTCCACCGTCTTTCCGCCTCCTCTTCCACATAGTTCTCTGAGCTCTGAGGGGAGGGGTCTGATGAAGACCTCCCATTTAGTACTGAAAGTTTTACTTGGTGGTGAGGTGTCTAGTCGGAGGTTGGTCTCTGCCATTATTTGGTGACTCCCTTTAGAGGAAAAGAGACCATTTTAAGGACCAGTTTTACGATAGTTACTTTAGAGAGCTGTGAGGGAGACATGTAAAGAAAGAGGGTGAGGCAGTGGGCAGTTTTACATATTTCCAAAGCTATGTAGTGAGTAAGTATGCAGCTATTTAAATTATGACTGTTCATAATTGTGACGCTTTTCCTTTTGTGAGACAGGATCTCACTAGGAGGTACTGGCTGGCCTGAAACCTGCTTTGCAGACCAGGCTGGCCTTAAACTCTCAGAGATCTACCTGCTTCTCTCTCCAGAGTGCTGGAATTAAAAGCGTGTGCCACAAAACCAGCTGGCTTTTAATGTTTTTGTTACATGATTGGCGTTAATAGTTGAAGCCTCCAGAGAGTCAGACAAGGACAGATCCCTGGGGCCTGGAATTGTGTGCAGTAACCATTCTTTTCCTCTAGCATCCACCCTAGGACCTGGTAGTCTCACTAGGCGCAAAGTGAAGGATAGCTCCTGTTTCTTAAGTATAACTCAACAGTGATTGTGAGTGTGTGATCTTCCTCCTCTTTGTGGTGTTTGGGTCTCATTTCCCCACCTTCCGGTGTCTGCTCATTAGTCTTTTATTGCTTTGATTTTCTTTAGCTCTAGTAGTGAGAAGGGAGAATACATGGTTAAGACCTTAATGGTCCTTTGTTTTGTTTTCCTATATTGCCTTAGCTTGAATTTTTTTTTTTTGACTCAGCATTGGTTTTAGAGTATGATCTGAGGGGTTTGAGCAGGGAGAGGTGTGCTGCTCAGGGTCTGAGTGTTTTTCTTTGTTATAGAGCCAACAGGTTGCTACTCAGAGGCAGAAGACATCTGTCAGATGTTTTGCGAGAAGTGGCATTTATTGCAATCTGCCAGATCCCTATTTCTGTGTAGTAAAAAGGAAGAAGATGTAAATGAATAGAAGGCCAGTCCTGGCATCTTGCTAGTGTGTGCCTTGCTACCTCCCATGGCTTACCTCTTCTCTCCTGGTACCTGTGTTGGTCCAGGGTGCTTGGTGAGGGGGGCTGGCTAGAAGCCCCCATGAAAACAACAGAAAGAAAACCTGCCATCTCTCAGGTGACATTAGCCTGTCATCCAGACCCCCACCCCCCCACTTGTTTTTCTAAGGGAGGGAAATGTGGGCTGACCACTGGCGCCTGCATCTTACGTACACATCCTGTGCGATTATCTGCATTAATGATTTGTGTCAGGAGTGTTCAGCAAGAGAGAGGCATTCGTATGATGTTCCAAGGAACCAGAGGACAGTCATTTAAAAAAGAAGAAAAGTAGAAAAATGCCAGGCTCCCAGTTCTAGGAAGACTCTTAAGCATTCAGTATCATTCAGAACACCCAATGGAAGACACTCATGTATGTTTCCTGAAATGGAAGATTATGTGTAATAAGAAAAGTGAAAAGAAAAACAAGTGTGGAATGTATGTTCGTCTGTAAGTAATTGCCCTCCTGATGGCTTTAATGTACAAAGAGCTGGTATAGATGGGTAGTGAGTGGTGCACGGGCTAATAGAAAATGGTGTAAATTGCCTCTCATGGGAGAGGAGGAGACCAAAAAAAAAATTTTTTTTGACAGGTAATGTCACTGCTATCCTGAAACAAACTTGAGCCAAGAGAGTGAGATGGTGATATTTCCCTAAGTAGGCTACAGTTTTTCATTTGTTAAATCCAATAACAACAGTAAAGATGGGAAGAAAACAATCCAG